AAGTTTTTCAGATTTTGTATTCCCTTTTTTTTTAAATCTTAAAGGTCACCTATCATGCTATTTTTAGGCAATAGCATAGGTCTCAGATATATAAAAAATATGTTAAAAAACATGTCTATGAAGTGTTTTGCTCAAAATACCAAACAGATTACCCATTCTAGCCATGCCTCACATCCCTATATTTCAACCCTGTCACTAAAGTGCTGATTCGGGGTGTAAAGCTTCTTTTTTTTTTTTTAAACAATTGAAAAAAAAGAGAATAAAGAGGTGGCGGACTGTATGCCTGCTTATGCAGGACCTTGCAGATACTGTCTAAATGCTGCGATGAAACGCCCTCTCTTGTTCAAAACCACATCAAGGATTATTTCTGAAACGCTTTTTCTCTTGTCGGTTTACCACAAGGAAGCCTTTTTATAGCCGGCTTCTTACACATGCTCTCTCCAGTACAGCGTTAGCTCTGAGTGTTAGCGATGCTTGCTAATGTAAACACAGACCATGTTACTTCATAACACGTCGTGCATTGTTTCTGATAGCAACGTTTCTGATAGGCGTAAAGCACACATTTAAGTAATGCTGTCATGACGCAGCAAATCTGGATCAGCTCCGTTGTACCTCTGCTTTTAGAGAGGAAAAGAGAGAGGGTTTCCTGACACACCGGGGACACATATTTATGTATAAAAGACATCAAAAGTGCATTTGCATAATAGGTGACCTTTAAGGGATACATGAATAATATATTTAAAACAATTATATAATTATTGATTAATTTAACAGAATATAAAAATACTTTTGTCCTTCCTTCACTAAACCACCCACCTCCTCCAGGTCGACCCGGGACACTTCAGGGAGAATCTGGGCTCCTCCGTTTTTCCTCCTCTTCTTCACTCCCCCCTCCGCACCTCCATTCTGTTTCTTTGTTTGTGACTTCTGCAATCTGAGGATAAAAAGTTTCACATGTTGTCACTCGGGTAAATCATATTTGTATACTGTATTATGTCTGCCTCCTGGATCTCCACTTTGAGGATGTTTTGCTTTTGTCTGTGATACATGTGAACATCTTTGAGTTTCAGATTGTTGGAAAAAATGAACAGTGCAGTATCAAGATGTCCCCTTAGGCTCTGGGAAATCATGTTGGGCAGTTTTTATTATTTTCTGCTGACACTGTGTGTAACTACCTGAAGTATTTCTCCAGGTCGAGGACCACCAGGCTTAGGGTCTTAGTAGGGTGACGTGTCTGATGCTGCTGCACCCAGGAGCTCAGCGTGGGACCGGAGCCTGCGTCATGCCTCTGCTCCTGACCACACACACACACACACACACACACACACACACACACACACACACACACACACACACACACACACACACACACACACACACACACACACACACACACACACACACACACACACACACACACACACACACACACACACACACACACACACACACACACACACTACTACGTACTACGTACTACTAGTACGTACGTATACGTACGTAACTAACGTA